TAAGCCAGGGCTCCTTGCGAAGCCGAGAGCGGGCTGTATCGCGCACTGCCCGCCAGGAGGAATGGAAGGAAGGGGAAGGGCCGCGCAGGTGCCTCCCTGCGAGCCACGGCAATACCCCCGGCCGCCCCCACGGCGCCCGGAGCGCGGTGAGCCCGCCGGGCGGCAGAGAGCAGCGGGACCCAGCGTGCCGCAGCCGCCGCGCATTTGAAGGGCCGGCCGCTACCGAGCCCCCGCAACTCGGGCCCTGCCTACGGCCCCATGGCTTCTGCACCAGGACGTAAAACATTACTGGAAAACACTAACATTGTCCTCCTTATGCACACATGTAATGCTCTCTTGGAGTGTTTTTTAAACCTCCTTAATCTTTCAAAGTGTTTTGTTGCAACTCTTTGTATACGCATCAGGTGACTAGATTGAACCTCCTCATGCCCTCCCAGTACAAAGATACGAATCAACTGGCCTGCGCCTGTAGTTTGAAAACCTGCCCACACAGCAGTTCCAACAGATCCTGTGGGGAATCCTGAACCCTTCTTTGGTGGATTCTTGTCAGACTAAACAAATTTAAGGTGGATTTTTTAAGACACAATGCTTATTGCCATCCTCTTCCTGCCAGGAGAACCAGGAAGAACATTGTGTATATGTTCTGAGCAACATGCAAAAACCTGCCAAATGCAAGCTAAGATGTAGGTCTGCACTTGCCTGTGAAGTGTCCAGGTATGGGCTCATCTTCACTGCCATGACCACCTTGACTTGATTTGGGTTCTGCCACTACCAGCTGAAGTAGGAAACTGCCATTTGCTCAGAGGAAGCTGTGGTAAGTACAAAACCTTTACAATTATGTTAAGATGATCTAAAAGACAAAATCATCCCAATTTTATTATTTTCATGTCCCAATGGGGTTTGCTGAAATACAAGTCTATTACAGCCACCTCAAAACAGGAGTGGCACATATAAACATTAACTGAAGCTTTTTGTTTGAGATTGCTTTCAAAACCAAAATATCACTCTAGTTCTAGACTGAGTGTAACTGTAGCTTGTCAAGTCATGAGTCTTCTGGAGGAGGCAAGATAAGAAAACCACTGCCAAATGTGTAAATGGGCAGAAAACAGGATCCAGCTTTGAGGAGGTGGCTGACTCTCCAGAACTGTCCCAAGACATACGGGACTGCGATTTATGCACTTAATCTTCATCACTCTATACAAATGCAATGCAACTTCTAGAAGTTTTATGACTACAATTTTCTAAGTCAGTCTTGTACTGCAGATAGTGTTTTAACATAGCACAGGGGGAACTCCTTCAAGAGTAACAAAACAAACCACAGAAGCTGTAGAAACAATCTGATCACAAGATAAAACAGAATGGCTCAAGGACATACCTAACTGCATTCCTGACAAATCTCCTCCAATTATATAATTTTTTTATCATTCTAGTCTTCAATTTCACTAACATCACATTTATTATGATTATTATTATGGTATTTAAGAACCACTGAATACCAGAAACAAGAAAACAGTATGACAAAACAATACTGCCGTGATACATGGGATGATGAAAGATGTATTCATTCTTGTTAACCACTGAATTAATTTTTTGTATTTCAAGGAAAATATTAATGAGCTACAGACAAGAGGGGACATAAGAAGCCTGTAAACAGATGCAAGCACAACTACCTCTGAAGATGTATTTTATTACCCTCCTGACAGGTTTTCACTAAACACACAGATTTGTTTTCTTTGCAGTATTAAGTCCTCAGCATCCACAATTCTTTCTTAAAGGCACTCTTTCACTTTGCAGTCAAGAAGTCTCAATTTACTGCTCATTTCAGCAACTTGTCAAGTCCAGGACTACTGTCACAGTTTAGCATTCTAAACCTGAACTTCCCCAGGTAACACATGGAGGTACAGTTGGCTATAGTACACCTGCAGCTGTCATGGTATTACTAAAAAAACTAAGTACAGTACAGGGTAACATACCTTGAAGAGATGAAGTTTAGCTGAGTGCTAGGATACTCACTGATTTATTACTTCCAGACTTCAAATACTGCATTTGCAATTTTTCATACAAAAAGTACAAAACGTTTTATTTTACAGTGGTTTGAGTTAGGATTCTGAGTTTTCCCAGAAAAAAGTGTTTTCATTTTTCTTGCCTTCCCTATCTCTCACTGTTAAACTGTAGATTTTGCTTCTTAAAAAAAGTAGTTCAATAAAAATGTAAAATGGTAACATATATTTGCTCTGGTGCATTAAGTGTAGAAATCAGGTTTGTATGCTGAGATATAATATAAAAACTGTATATTTCTATTATCTAACAAAGTATGCAAAACACAGGACTTGATGTTTTTTCACTCCCCATAATAAAGTGGTTTTTTCATAGTCTTCAAGCTATCCTTGAAAGAAAGAAAAATCAAACTCTGCCCAGTTGATTATGTTTGCATTCCAATATAAACTACTTCTGTTTCCCACTGCAGCAAGAAATTACAGTATCGGTGTTCCACACTTTAGAGAAAGTATGGAATACATCTGTGCTCATCTACAGGTTTCAAGATTTCTGTTTAATAAACACCAAGTACAGTATATAAGATTTGGATTATTTTCACATTTACAGCAAATACTCAAGTCCTTCTGATTTCCTTTATAAAAGCATCTCAATCCAATTAACAAAGATAGTACACTTACAAAAATTCAAATATATAGTACATTTGTTTCTGTACATGTATGTGCAAGATCTCCCGGCAAAAATACAAATGTGGAATCCAACAGCTTGACCATTTACATCTCCTTTGGCAAATTCAACTTTGTATCACATGATGTAAGTACCATCTTTGTAGTATTTCATGGATTCTAGCTGCTGAGTCATTGCAAGGACATCCTGAAATCCTGTACTGAGTCCAGACATGTGTTGAAAATAAGCTTCCTTCTCCACTTGGACAGTTAAGTTGTTTACACCAGCATCTTTCAGAATTGCTGTGACCTGAACAGAATGGTACAGTTAACATTAGTATTGCACTTCACATGTACCTCACAGTAACTTGCCATATGCTGGCTCTGCAATGCTGTAAGAAACCTCCACATATCATTGTGAAGAATTCAATTATCTGGAGAGCAAAGAATAGCTTAAGAGGGTATGGCTTTACAACCTCTGCACACTGGATGATTCTCATTGTCTTTTCAAGGAAAAAAGAAACCCATGGCAGATAGGTAGTGGTTATCCAGTTATAGACATGTGATTAGCATCCAGATATCCCTACTACTTAATCCCTGTTTTGCAAGGAATAAGGTTTTTATACCTCCCTTTTTTTTTCTCAGATCTGATGTAGTGCCACTTTCAGTCAGTGTTTTGGCAGATGTTCTAGAAAACAACTCTACATGATTAATTACATGACTAGCAGGCAAAAGGGGCAGTACAACATTAGAGACCAGCTCTAAGACAGTAACAAACAGCTACAAAAAAATAATACATGTCAGCTTGAAACTTCAGTCTGTGACCAAAAGGGAGTAGGAAATTAAGAGTCAAAAAACCTTGCACTTTACCTGCTGTACAATTCTCTGTTCCATGACATCTGATACTACTTGCACGTGTATTGTGCCTGCCACAACAGTTGCAGAGTGACACCAAAAATGAGGATCTCTGTAGGATATAACTCCCTCTATTTTCTGAATCTGTGAAGAAATTTCATTAGCAAAAATAAAGTAATTTTAAACTTGTGCATGTACGTGGCTATTGGTGGATAGTATTTCACAAGGAAACAAAACTGTAGCACAGCAGCTTTCCAACTAAGCTGTATTCAGAAATATCTTGTATTGAAAGGTTACCTTGCTACTACTGTAAAATTCTAGAAGGTAAAAGTCAAACTAAATGAAAACCCTAGAAGAACAATGCTAAACAGGATGAGGAAAAAAATCCCCTGATTTAATGAACAGATCACAGGAATATAAATGGATAGAGTAATCAGAATACTGCTCTGGCATCTACCAGGGAATTTGTTACCTCACCATTTAGCAGCTATACTTAGTTATCATAGCTGAACTTTATTCAGAGACATAACTTCTCTTCCATAAGATATATTTTTTTTTGTCTTTGCTCTAGGTTGGCTGTGATGGTTTCCCAGAGCATCTGAAAAGGCACTGTGGTTTGGATTTCTGCCTAAAACCATTTTGATAATGCGCCAATGATTTGGCTATTGCTGAACCGTTCAGGCTTTCTCTTTTCTATCAGGCAGTTTCAAGGCTTTCTATTTTTCCCATTCTGCCCCTGCCCTGGTAGGTAGGCTGGGGATGGGCAAGAAGCAGGGAGGTGACACAGCCAGGGCAGCTGACCAAAGCTGTCCAAGGAATCCTGCATGCCGTGTAACACCTTGCTCAGCAGTAAAAACTGGGGTAGAGGATGAAGGGGTGGATTTTGGCTTCCAAGGTGGCTGTCTGGGGACTGCCTGGGTATCAGTCTGCTTGTGGGAGGTGGTACACTGCTTTTTAAAAAGTATTTCCACCATTCTTCCTTCACTTGTTATATTGCTTCCATAGTTTTACTGCTTACGCTTCCATCCCACTGGCAGTGGTGGTGGCAAAGGAGGGGAGCAAGCAAGTGGCTGCTGGACAGGGTCAACATACAGCAAGCATATTGTTTTATTGTGATGTAATTTAAAAAATGTTTTTCCTATTATCTTTTAATCAATTTGTCTTTGATTGTTCTCAGAAAGTACTTTTTTCCTCCCATCTCTCAGAATTACTGTCTTCCCTCATCAAAAAGTGAAACCACAGTCTGCGTGTCACTTTCACTACATTCATCTCTCTCAGACAATTCCCATTTGTTCTTTTTTTTTTCATCCAGACAAGAACACCATCTAATCCCATCTAATAACTGACAGGACACTGCAGGGATAGTCTTCCTTGAAGCCTCTAGGTGATGCCTTCCTCAAAAAACTTTTAACTCATTCTTTTACAGAGAGGAGTTCTCTGCACTGAGGTCCACATTATGATTCTGGGCAGGAACTTAAAATGAGGCAACAACAAAGACTAGGTACAGCCTTAAGGCAGATGCCATACTGCACCAGACAGGAAGAGAACAGTCTAGAATGAGAAAATAATTAGAAAAAACAGCTTAAATTTTGCTATCCCACCCACTGTGAACCAGTATACCTTCACAATATGGATAAATCAGAAAACTTGAAATTACAAGCTTGTGACACAATGCTGTAGCCTGAATGTTCATACCAAGTCTATAAAGGCTGCAGGTGTGGGCAACTACCATATTACTTTCTCAGAGTAATGTACCAGAGTACCATGTTCATCAAAGTGTTACCATACTTATCTGAAATTATGGGATACTCATAAAAGCAAAAAACAGTGGAAGTCTTTTTAGCTGCAAACCAACTTTTATAGTTAGAGCTAGTTATCTTGTCACTTCTCCGCAAAATAGGTTTTAAACAACTTGAGACATGAAGTTGTCTAAGACAACGGAAGCTGTCTGACTGAACTGCTCGAACTCAATAATCATTAAAAACGGTTACAGCTTTGTATTTTTGAATATAAAACCATTTATAATTGTACCTTTTCTAAAGCACCATGCAGATCTTTCTCTTGTTCTGGAGGTATCCTCAACAAAAGCACTTGACAGGCATCTTTCAATAGTGGGATAACACTAAGAAAAATCAATGTAGCAATAAAGAGAGAGCAGAGCGGATCAGCTATGAGCCATCCAAATTGCTGAATAAATATTGTGGATACGATAACACCAACACTGCCCAGAGTGTCTGCTAACACATGCAGAAACACACCTAAAATCAAAACAAACAGAGTGATTAACAGTTCTGTCTAAAATGTGTATATATATTCAATAGCAGAAACTTAGTAAGGCTTAACTAAATATTCTCAAGCTAAACAGAGACGACCCTCTACCTAACCTGGGACAAAATACACTAAATATTTAGCTCTTCTAATGTTGAACTGCAAATTAATGTAAAAAACAATTTTTCATGTATGAGGCAATGATCTAGGTAGGCATCCACAGACTAAAGTACATGTGAATAATCTTTAAATTGTTAGTGGGATTTGTACAATATAGCATCATCATTTAACTCTGTATATAAGGACTCATTGATCCCTAACAGAGAGTTAGAAGATCAGTGTACATGCACTGGCTTGCTAATGTGGACACACATAAATGTACTGGTTGTTTTTTGTATGCCAGTTCTACTCCAATTTTACAAGAGAATTGTCTTGGTGCTACTGCTATGAATTTGATACTTTCTACTGCTTTAATTGTGGGCTCATTCTCAATGTACACTAAATGGGCATAAAAAATACCCTCCAAACATCAGTAAGATTAGTGCTAGTTAAGTGTCATGATTTTAAAGAATATTGAAACCTGAGTATAGGCAGACTTAAAAAAATTACAGACATAATGAATAACCAGGAAAACCAAATGAGTTAAGACATAAAGTAACCTGTGAAACATGAGACTATTCACCATATTTTGACAAGCTTACACAGAAAACACTTCTTCTAAAGGTTTTTTTTTTTTTTTTAAAAAAAAAAGCCAGACAGTTGGTAAGTAACTACTTTCTATTAGGAAAAAAATTCTATGCTGAACTTTCATACACAATGTCCTTCTTAGTTAGCTTACGATTTCAGATTTCAAAGTTTTGCTTTACCACTTTATCTTCTGAATCACAAATAAAAGCATATTCTGTTCCTGGTCTGTGTTTGTTCTCCTGCTTCTTTTCCCCTTCCCAGTGTTTTACAACCAGTTGTCACACAATTCCTAGAAGCATGGTACCATCTTTATAGATAGAGACCTTGTACTTTCATTTCCAGTTTGAACTTAGAAACAAGCACTTAAAGCTTTTTAAGTATGGTTTACAGTGACCTTTATTGTTAGTCAGTACTATAGATTACTGCTTTTTATTGTTCCTTATGTATTACACACATCAGCACAGAAACATTTCACGTTTCTTTCTTCCAAGTTAAATTCATAAATGGTTTGAGCAATTCCTGTATAGCACATTTAATACCTGTCAGATGACTCCTTAAAAGCATTTTTAGATTGAGGCATAATAATGCATAGGTCTTATTCTGAAGATCTTCAGTCTCCTAGAAATTGCATACATCGCTTATGAGTCAACAGTCTGTACTTGCCTCTCATATTGGTGTTCATGCCTCCTCCAGAAGATCCATGGGAATGTCCATGGCTGTGGCCATGGTCACTGTGAGAATGCCCGTGCCCATGGCTGTGGCTGTGGCCATGGTGAGAATGGCTGTGATCATGTGTGGGACAGCCTCCCCGAGAAGCCCCATGGGAATGCGCATGGCTGAAGGCACAGATACCAACAAGGTTTACAATCAGCCCTCCAACAGAGACCGGCTGTGAGAGGGAGAAAAGTCTTTAACTTCACTGCATCCTCACAGGTATTCAAACTTATTTTCCTGAACATGGTAAGCAAAAATGCCATGCACTGAATTAAGGAAAATTCTGGAAGCCCACAATTTCCCTGGGCAACCTTTTCCAGTGCCTTACCACCTTTACAGTACCACCATCACAATACAGAATTCCTTCCTAATATCTAATCTATACCTACCCTTCAGTTTGAAGCCATTTCCCCACTAAATGCCCCGGCAAAAAATTCCTCTCCAGCTCTCCTTAAGGCTCCCTTCAGGTACTGGAAGGACTATTACCCCGGAGATAGACATAAATTAATGATTAACTGCAAAACTACACTGAAACAGAAGGACAAAACTTACGGTTAGCATATTTGTATCTATGTCTGGAGGATCTACCAGTCTCGCCACTGATTCCATGAAGACAAAGAAAGCAATCACCATCAGAAAGAGGCCATTAATAAATCCAGAGAGAATTTCTACACGTCCATACCTGAAAGTAAATATATTTACTTCTGAGAGTGAAGAGTGGGTACTCTGAACAAATGTCAAAGTTGTAATAAATAAAGTTATAATTCTTTTAATACAGCATTAAGATTGCTGTGATTTTTTTCCTTAATATCACATAATCATGCCTCAATTTCTGAGTTATTTTTTTCTGATCAAGAGGTTCCCAGTTTCCAGCTGTCCAAACTCCATTATAATAAAACGCTACAGAAGTAGTCTCTTATACTGCTCATTCAGGGCTTCAAACTGCTGAACTGCTATGCAAACATATAAAGTTTCATTATATCAGCTGTATCTAAATCTTCATATGAACACTGACTTTTTAACATAGATTTTTGTTTGACATAAATGCCTAGCATGAGGTAATTTCTAAAGAATATTCACAGTGATAAAAGTTTTACTTGTAAGGGTAAATGAAAATTGTATTTCAGACACATTTTTTGCATAGGTAAGAAGAGAACAGTGTAAGCACAAATGGAACAGAAGAGACATAGCAAAAAACCCACAGAAGCATGCATTAGTAAAATGTTCCATACATACCAGGACACTTTGAAAAGCACTTTTTTGACACTTCTTTGAGCAAGAAGAGTTAAGTTTCAAATAGTCCTTAAAAAACCCAAGATACATACCCATATGAAAATATGCGAGTTGCTTTCCACCTTGTCATCAGAGCTGCGAAAAGCCCCATCACTAATGCAGAACAATCAAAAAGCATGTGAAATCCATCAGAAATAAGACCAAGGCTATTGGTCCATACTCCATAAAAAAGCTCCACGAAAGTGAAAGCCTAAAACAAAACAGAGTTTGAATTTTTCCTTAAATATTAATTTGTGTATTAATGTTTTGGTAGATAGAAGGATATTCTTTTCATAAAACACTCAACATTTCTCAAAGGTATTGTTCTAAGTATTTCTAGACCATTTTTTCTCTCCTCCAATGAAATACATGATGTATTCCAAGTCTAGAAAGAGACATTTTTGAACCTACTCTCCTTAAAGTCTCACACATAAAAAACCAACTCTTTAAAGGAGTAATTTTTTGGTTTTGAATTTTCAACTGACATTCTGCAGACAAAATTCTAAGCATTTCATCATTAAATATCTAAGAGCTCTGATCTGATATGTTATTGGTGTAAATAATGTAATACTATCTATAAATCTGTTATATCAACATTTTCTTCACCAGCAAATGAAGAAATGAAGTAATGAATGACTGTTTAAATCTTAGGAATTGGCTCTGAGAAAGGTACACAAGGAAACATTTTTCATACATACATTCACCCTGTACGTTTTATTATTATTAATCCATTTACCTAAAATCTTTCTTCCAGTTTTTCATGTTTCATAATGGAATTCCTTACAGTTAACACAGACTTCAAGTTTCTCCCCCTCTTTTCCCAGAGATCTTTGCAAATGAGATTCTATAAATTTTGCTAACTGCATCATATTTTCCTATTAAAGAAAGAGAGAAGCTAAAAATAAAACTAGCCTGCTCCAATACTAATCAACCCAGCACCTTCTATTTTGTTGTCCACATCCTTATCAGTTTCCCTGAGGCCTTATCAGTTTCACCTTATTTGCTGGCAACATTGAGCTATCTCAGCGTTAAACATACTATCATAAAAGTGTTCAGTTGCTGGTGCAACCCTCACACACAGAACCAATGCTGCACTGTGACAACAAACCAGTGACGACTACTTAAATTGCTCTGTCAAAGGTCACTTTCAAACCAATCAATTATGGGAATCTTTGAAAGAGTAACTCTTCTTTCTGTATTGTATATGCACTGTTGTGATTGGGTTTGAAGAAAAAAATACATACACTTACCAGATTTAGGCACAAGAAATAGAAGATTTGCCGAGAATCATACTCCTCAAGGATTTGTTTCAGTGACTCCTTAATAAACCGGGGCAATGACTGGGAGCTTTGCTGTAATGCATCACCCATGAAGTTATAGAGAGGAGTGCCTTCAGGGGAATAGCCAATAAGGGTACCCTTCTGCCCTTTCCTGGAGGGGGAGGACAGGATATTGGCAGCTGCAAGGAAAGTATTGAAGTTTTTGTTGCCGTTTCTAAGCTTCACAGCTATTTTATAATGTGTTTAACCAGCAATCAAAGTTTACATGGAATTTTCAGGCAGCAAATTGATTGTCAACTTAATCTTGAGGTTTATTATTGGATTCATTGCTATGTAAAATTAGATCATCACTTCCACAACAGATCAAACTTCATCATTTTTCCTCTACACAGACAGTAAAAGAGCAAAAAGCTACAGGCTGCCTTATTCAAAGAAATCCATAAAAGCTCATCCAAAAGAGCTCAGAAAGCATCCAAAACACCTCAGTTTTCTGATTGGCTTCCCAATCACACAGACCACAGATTTACCACAGTTGAGACAACAATACGTACACAAAACAAAGAAGACAGCACTCACTACCACCCCTCCAGAAAGAACATGCTCTGTGCTTTCATGGTGTGGTGGCTTGTTCATAGCTCGAAGTTGGTCTGTTATTGGATGCGTCCAAAAGTTTCCAAAAAGCAATGCGCTAATGAAAATTAGAAAGGATCCGTATCGAGCACATGTGGAAGCTTCCATCTTCACAGAGCATATGGACTCCACGTAGAAATCCAGGATCACAACGAAAAAGATGACTGTTACGAAAGGCATGATGAGAGAAGACCAAGACTCTACTTTACTCTGCAACAAAAAATATATTTCAAACAGGGCTGCTCACCAGGAGAGTGATTGTATTTATAGCATTAAATTGTTCACTTGTAGAATTACAAGCATTTTCATTAATCCATAAAACATAAATACTTTTATATATTCAATTTACCATATAAACACATCATTTGAGATATAAACTGTGACGTGTATCTAAAATGCACTAAGGTACTTCATTTTAAATACTTTCATGTTTGTAAAAGGAATTCCATATACAATGCCATGGTTGCAATGGCCTATTCACCCTATGCACACAAGCATAAAGAACATTTTTTAAAATGACAATAAATTATCTACTTCTTAGGGATGAAAGAGCACTGTATTTATATAGCCATTAACGCTTGTGCAATATTAGTAGATGAACCCAAGATATAATATCTGAGCTAGGAGAATGAAATACAGTTTTCACACAAAAGAGGAAATTAAAGTATCACACAGATAAAAAACAAATATAGAAGAAAAGCACAATGGGAAAACTTCAAACAAAGCTTACTACAAAAATAAAGACAGCAACACTGGTATTTTTAAGGATATTTTAAAGGAAAGATTTAAATTGCAATTCACAAGCATTACAAAAAAAGATTTATCTTTGTACTTATTATCTTACCTCTGTTGTCAGAGAGAGAACAATAACCCACGGGCACAAGAGAAGGACAGAAACAAGATGAGACAAAGCTTGAAGACGCTTGGCTCCACCTACATCTACAGATAGTTTTCGGGATGCCATATGAAAACCAACCTTGCAGCACAATGCCAATACCAGAAGCAGTACTCCACCCTGGAGACATAAAGGGGTTCCATTAGCTTTTCTTAAGTACCAAAAACCTCACTCCAAACACAGTGACACAGGGAGAAAATATTAATGTGCTTTCCTTAACCTGGAAACAAAAGCCAAAACCAGGATATTTCCCGTAATTTTTACTGTACCTAAAAACAGCAACACAGCATACATGGCTGTGCCTTAGCACTATTCACAACAGCCTAATCTAAGCTGAACTATGAAACTCTCACTAGTGTTTATTGGCATACACCAGCAGCAAAATGGTAGTAAACAGCATCTGAGGAAGAAAAATCACCCACAGTTTTTCCATCTTCCATTATTGTGCTGAAAGCATACATAAAACCCCAAAGATTCACATCATCTTGTCCTCTACACCTTTAGCAACTTTTTCATCCACTTACCTTTGAACGCACCCTGTTTCTTCACAATATACTTTTTCAAAATTGTTCTTTAAACAAATTACAAGATAGACAGCATCTCATCTCCCTTAGATCACACTTACCTTCTTGCACCATTAAACAGTCTTTCTAATATTTGATTTATTTTTATATTAATACTTTTTCAGCTGCTCCATAGTTTTTCCTGTTTTATTCCTCAATTAAGCCACTTTAGCAAGACTAAGCTAACACAACTCAATCAGCCAGGTCAACCCTGTACAGTCAGGTCATGATATTTAGCTATTCATAGCACCAATTACAATGGGACTCTCTTAGTGATAAGTATCAGAATCTGTGTCTTCAAATACAAGTCTGATGTAAAGGAAAGACTGGGGAAAGCTAAAGATGCAGAAACAAAACACAGGCCCCAAAAGTGATTAAGAAGTGATTTGTAGGCAAATCATTATAAACAACCAAAATACTGATGACAGAATATTTCATGGTAATTTTAATGAGACTTGTTAGGCTATGCATTACAGCGAAGTCCTTATCAGCTATAGAGGTTGAATATTGTATGGTTTGGCTTGTTGTATTGAAGCTCCTCATACTCCCATCAGTGTGCAAAAATTACAGTGTTAGTTCAGTTCCAATATGGGGTGGGGATGTTCAACCTCATGATTTTGATTCAGGCTTGGATTAGCTCTGAACTGGTTAAATTCTTACCTACAAAATTTAGACAAAGATTCTAAAATACAGGTTGTTTACCTTGTGATCTGCAACACCCAGGAAAGCAATGATTGTATACAGAACATGAGTAAGAGCACTGTCATGATGCCCTTCAGCTAAACAAAAAAATTAAGGAAGAACTTCATTAGATTTTTTTTTTTTTTTTTTTTTAACCAAGAACAGGCAAAGGTAGCAGAACACAGGAAGCAGAGGTAAGCAAATGTTGGACACCCTGTGCAGGACAACCAGGGGATCAGGCCCAGCCCTCAGCATGGGCTTATGAAAAGCACATCCTGACAGACCTGATCTTCAATATGACAGAGTGACCTGCCTAGTCAGTGAAGGAAAAAACTGTGGATGCATGGACTCCAGGGCTGCATGGATGCCCTGGACACCATTTCCCACATGACCTTCCCAGGGAAACCAGCTGCTCCTGGCTTGGGCAGATACACTGTTCACTGGGTAAGAAACTGCCTGGATGTCTGGACCCAGAGTGAAGTTACATCCAGCTGGTGTTCAGTCACCAGTGCTGTTCCCCACAGCTCAGTACTGGGGCCAGATCTGTTTAATATCTTTATCAGTGATCTGAATGAGGGGATCAGGTGTACCCTCAGTCAGTTCAGAGATGACACCAAGCTGGGTGGGAGTGCAGATCTACTGGGAAGGAAGGCTCTGCAGAGGGATCTGGACAGGCTGGATCATGGGCTGAGGTCAGTGGGGGGAGGTTCAACAAGGCCCAGTGCTGGGTCCTGCCCTTGGGTCACAACAACCCCAGGCAGTGCCACAGGCTGGGGCAGAGTGGCTGGAAAGGACCTGGGGATGCTGGTGACAGCAGCTGAACGTGTGGCCAGCAGGAGCAGGGCAGGGATTGTCCCCCTGTCCTGGGCACTGGTGAGGCCACACCTTGAATGCTGTGCTCAGTTTTGGTCCCCTAAGTACAAGAAGACACTGCGGTACTGAGGTGTGTTCACAGAAGGGCAACAGAACTGGGGAGCACTTACAATGAGCATTTGATGGAGGTGGGGGTGTTTAGTCTGGAAAAAAGAAAGCTCAGGGCAGACCTTATCACACTCTACAACTATCTCACAGGATGCTGAACCCAAGTGGGGGTCAGATTTTTTCTGACAGGACTAGAAGAAATGGCCTTAAGTTGCACCAGGCATTGAGTAGCCTGAGTATTAGGAAGAATTTATTCAGAAAGGATTAGCAAGCATTGAAACAGGCTGCCCAAGGAACATACCTGGTGGTTCTTAAAAGACATACAGATGTAGGGACATGATTTAGTGGTGGACTTGGCAGTGCTGGATAAACAGTTGGATTCGATCATCTTAAGGTGCCTTCCAACCCAGGCCATTCTATGATTCTGTTTAACAATTCTACTCACTGAAAGCTAAGTAAATTAATCAATAAGGTTCCAGAATACACCATTTGCATCTGTAATTCCGTATTTTCATTCTTCCTTTGCAAAGTTTACTTTCAGCTTGTTTATTTTTACTGCCCATCTTACATTTGTCAGTACACTATGATGAGACGATCAATTGAAAACTTACTTCAAAATCACCTCTAATTTAATTCAGTACATTCAATTTCACATTTTCTCTTCTCCAGTACTAAGAGTTACTTCCTCTTTCACATAACAAGAAAGGATACGATGTTCTGCTATTTTAGCCATGAGGTCGTCATTATCAAAAAGTAGTAAGCAAATGATAGCTATGATGAAAAATGCAGCACCTCTTGTCTGTAAAAAAAAACCCAAACAAACAATAAACAACAACAACCCCAAAATATTTCTAAACTGCTACAACAGATTACTGTAAAAAAATCCAGGAAATTGGCCCCTTCCTTCCCTGCTTCCAGATCAATGTAAGCATACTTCAGTAAGAAAATCAGAATGCAACCTCAATTATTTCTAAGAAAGCGACCTTGACAATATAGTTTCACATTTTTTCTGGTTTTCACACTTACCAGATAACTCAGGACATATTCTCACCGTAGCAAGTGAGATGCTGGTATCTAATGAACTAAGTGTGAGTACTTTCTTCTTCTGCCTGCCAGAATGCACTGCTGCTTCAGCCTGATGATTTAATATTATGTAGAATCAATGAGCTACAAACAAGATCTGTACAAACTGTTGAATTTTGTCTTATGGGACCTAAAGGCTAAAGAACTATGAAAAGACAATGAGAAAGAACATCTCTGAAGTGCTTTTGTGGGGAAACGACAGAGGTAGATATGAAATCCCAGCTCCCAGAGTTTTCATCACCCAGACTTAAACCATTGAAATTTTTGGTATTCATCATCTTAGATAGATACTGAGCTCTATGTCTGAAAAAATACTATTACAATTTATCTTTTAAAGCCAAATAGACCTATCACATTCTTGCTGCAGAAAGTCAGCTGACCAGTTCATTTAGTAAAGCCGAAACATTCAGCAGACAGCACTGATGCCCCCTTGTTTCTGCTGCCTTAAGATATTCAGATTAACTGCCAAATGTGGCCCACTAAGATACAGACTGACAAAGAATCTCTCTGAAGCTCTTTATCTATCCTTTTGGTAATTGGCTGCAGAAAGTAATTTGTCTTCTTCAGCATGATCTCCATGCTGGATGCCCTAAGCTTCTCAATTTGCAGGCAATGAGCATAGACCATCAGTACAGATGACTGTGACTTTACGGCTGCCTGAAAGTGCTTAGGGGACTCTGTGCAGTTATGAGACACGGATTTCAGAACTCCCAGCCTCAGAGAGCACCAAAGTGAGACTTCCCTTCCAGCCTGAGGAGACATTATAACAGGAGACGTTTTCCTTCACCTGACACTGTTTTTAAGTGAAAGTGCTCAAGACTGCTAGGTATTGGGTAAGTTCATTCCATTTAGGGCTGATTGGCACATTTACAGAACACCTTGGAAAAGTATGTGCAATGAGACTTGAGATGGAGCATGCCTCAAGTATAGGTCTTCAATTAAATGAAAGGGCCTTAGTATTCAGCACACACAGGACCATGCAGACATAAAAGTACTTAGAGAACTTTCTGGCAGAAAGAAACAATGTATGTGAAAAGCTAAACACCTTGAAGATTCTAGGCCAGGAGCTGGAGACTGTATTGCTGGACTTCAATGTCTAAGGTCAGGAACAGACCTTAATAGATATGCCATGGATATCCAACACCTTCACCTACTGTTTCTCTCTCAATGTCATTTTTATTGTTTCAAGTCATACATCTTACAATTTCACCACTAATTAAACTAAAAAAGCACATTTTCTGTGAATGTGGATCCAAAACACAGTTTGTTCCAGCAAAAGGAGTACTTGAACTTATAGGATTCAGTATGTTTTACCTTTGGTAAAATAGGTTTTTAAATACCTTTGCTGGTCCTCCACCTGAGCTTGTGAACAAGACACTAAGGAGTGACAGCACAACCACATCACTGTGCTCAAACAGTAACAACGTCCTATAAAAAAAATTAAATAAAGACTCCATTTACAATGCGTTTACCTCACAACCATGATGTACACTATTTCAGCTAAAATTAATGACACAACAATGATTTATCCTGTGATTACAACAGCAGGTTTAAACAATTCAAAAGGAAAAATACAAATCAATTTGCCTTCACCAGCAATAGATCTAGCTGCAGACAACTATACATGCTGCAAAACAGTAAGCTCCTAATTCAAGGAACAGATTAAAATTGTTCATTTATAGATAACTTTAAACTGTATTTTCTTCTAGCAACACGACAGGATACCAACTTGCTTAAGATGGAGTTATTATTCCCACTACATCACCTCCTCTAAACCAGCTTGTGCTCCCAGAGAAAAAAAGATGTCCAGTTCTGCACTATTGCATCCTGTTCATTAAGGTGCTGATGATTAGTAGCCTATGCCACCTCAAAACCTCTTAATTGCTGAAAATAAAAAATTCTAGCTTACATGCTACCTCCTTCAGACAGCAAAGGCTAACAAACATAGCTGTATTGCCAGCTTTCCTGACCAGAACATGGAAGTACAGTGATTACCAAATGCTTTTGCAATCCTCTGCAAAGCAACACAACACGCTAGGACACGTGTAACAGGTTCTGTTTGGGAAGACTGCCAGCACCCAGAAAGACATGAGAGTATTAACTACATTAATATAATTAATCACAGTATAATTACTCTGAGGTAAGTCTTCTCCTGTGTAGATTATAAAAATTCACTTTCATAAAATATATAATTTAAGGCTTTACTTTCCTTTCTCCAATGCAAAATGCTTTCCAATATATTAATCTTCATTAGTCTACCTCCTCTTTAATAGTTACTCAGTCATTAGTACTAACACACAGCACAAATGGAATTACCTGTATATGCACTAATGTTACCCAATTTCAACACAGAGCACACAGCCAACTAGATAAAGAAGGACTCTGCAACAATTCAATGCAGAAATTGATTCTAGTCAAATTGATTTCTGTCAAAGAAATATCAGCTGCTACCATTACCCATCAAGCCAAGGTCTCAAAACAGGTAAATAAACAGTAGGCATTACATTAGTGAGAGCAGGGAAGTGACAAAAACTGCACTAAGTTACCTTGATGTATCATTCACATCAAATGTCCAAACACTATCAAGAATTTCACTAGCATCTCATAAAAGTAGTAGTTCTTCTGGTAGAAGAAAATAACCAGTTCAAGAGAAATTATATGTACTTTTCCAAACAAACACTAAAGTTTTCACAAGAAAATTCATAAGGTTTCAGTAAGTTTTTGGATATACATCAAGTGGCTAGCAGCATTATCTGACAGACAGAAAACAAAAAACAAAGGAGCAAGACAGGGAAGGATCACAAAAGAAGATATGTATTTACCTCAGTGGTCCACAAAGAGTAAGGCCAAAAAACCACAAGAGTGAAATGATACATCCAACAACAGCATGCTTAAAAATTTTGATCCACTACAAAAGAAAGGTATTTCATTATCATCTTCTCCAGAGTTTCAAAATAAACACTATCACTAGCATTGTTTCAGTCCAAAAGCTGTAGAAATTGAGAGGAAATCATGTGCTTTGCAAGTTCTATAATTGTAATTTAAAGTATGATTATCTCAGATACTTTTCCAGGCAACTAAGATTTTTTTGGATATACTATGAACCAGAATTTTTTTCTACTGCAGTACTAGATTCTGTAACATTGTCTGAGTTCTCTTCCACAAAAATGGCTGAAAAAAAAAATTAAGTACATTTACCTATTTTGTAATCTGTTGTCTCTATCAGATAAACATAAAAAGAACTAGATAAAATATAGAAATTGAGGCTGAGACCTTATGCCTACAAATATTTATGTGTGTGTTATATTGTTCAGGAAGCAGGCTGTAATTCAGATATTCAACACATTAACTTCAGATGCAAGTTTTAGAATAAATTAATTCTGGAAATATGCTAAACAAGATGAAGTAACAAACAAAATCTTCAAAATCCAGAATCTGAAATTTTTTATCAAAAGTAAAACCATATATGGACAGATTTTTCTGAACTCAAATCTAAGACGCCATTTATTCCTGTTCACATTTTTTAAATTCTGACACACACATCTAATCATGAAAGCAGCTGACACAAGAACACTTCAAGGCTATCCTTCAGATTATGTCTACTTAGCACAAGCATTGGATCAAGCTTTTGTGCACACAATTACATAAACCCAAGATGAATATTAAGCAGGTGAAGAGAATTTATTTTTTAAAAATCAGCAGGTTCCAACCTGGCCCTACTCTGAACTCCTTGGGATACTGGAAATTCACGAAGGTCTGATGAACAGTTAGATTAGGTCCATGCAGAAGGGACTCTTCTCTTCTGAAGGACAAGACCTGGAGCATTTTGACATTCTGGCAGTCCAGAAACTGCCTGTCTAACTGTCCAAGTCAGCTAAGTAGACTAAGCTCTATTTGAAAATCCACTCCTTACAGTAGATGCTTGCTTGGTGATAAGGACCAGCCTTTTCTCTATAGTCTCAAAAGAAGCTGACAAAAGCTAAACACACTGAATGTTTCAGCCCAGAAGACACGGAGTTAGTTGCATACCTCTAGAACATGTAACATATCTTCTAAGTGAAGTAATCTTTGTTTGCCTTTCAATTTTGACAAGAGCTATACAGCCAAGAATATTTATAAGGATGCAAGTCACTCTTACATATGTCAACTCACCTGATGCTTGGTTACCACTTTTCCAGAAGAAAATGGTTTTTGAAACAAAACCATAAAAAAAGCAGACCTGTCAAAAGGGGAAAGTTTTCTCTATTAATTTATTAGTCAGCTTTTTATTCAAACCAGATCTAAACAAGTAGGTTTCTCATATCTGGCTCAGTTTACAAAATTGATTCCTCTACATTTCATTCATTAACAGGCCACACTGACAACAGTCACTGGTTTTATTTTCCCTGCTGCATTACCAGTGTCAGATACCAGCACTAAAGTGATGACAAATGAACTTCAGTTCTGGTCAACTTCAAATGCCAGTTCTTGAGAGAATGACTAATGGTGAGTTGACTTGTGATTTATAAAAATCAAAATAACTGATCTCAGAAGTTTTGAAGATAAATAATACTCTGATTTTTATTAGCAATATAGGTATACAGAAAGGCTGACTCATATATAGAATGCTGACTTCACAGTCCTGTAGGAATAGAAGACATAGAACAAAACTTCTTCAAGTGGGATCAAAAGTGATGGGCAAAAAAGAAACTGTGGTGCTTGGGAACATGCAAAAGAGAAGTCTATAAATGTACATGAATATGAAATAAAAGGAAAAAATGGAATTCCAAATGTTCCAGCTCTGTCAGGTTTATTACATAAATGCTCTTCCACATCACATCAGATAAACATGAAGCAGGATCTTGCCTGCAAAGATTGTTTCTGTGTATTTGTTATCAGTTTTCATACCTCGGCCCTCAGTCTGGGAAAAATAGCATCTGAATACCACAAGAACTTCAGGAATACAAACTATGAAGAAGAAAGCTTATCTTCTACACCCTTGTTAGCAAAATTTAGATATGCCTGGGTGTCCTGGTTTCAGCTTGGACTGAGATAAATTTTTCTCAGTAGCCACTACTCCAGTACTACTGCTAGTGCAGTGCTGTTTTGGATCCAGTGCGAGAACAATGTTGACAATACTTTTGGCTGTTCCTTAGTGCAACTTATCTGAAATTAAGGACTTTTTAGTTTCCCATGCTCTGGCAGCAAGCAGGTGCTCCCAGCAAAAAGCTGGGAGGCAGTATGGCTAGGGAACCTGGCCTGAACAGGACAAAGAGATGCCCCATACCATAAATACCATATACTTATGGTATATATCCAAACTGGGGCACCTACCCAGATGGGGGCTGATCGCGGTTTGGGGATGAGCTGGGTACCGTTAATGTGTTTGGAGCAATTGCATTGCACATCACTTGTTTTTACTGGGTTCTCTCTCTACCTTCCTTTTATTACTATATTTTGCTTATTAACTTAATCATTTATTACCTTATTAATTTTAATTATTAAACTCTTCTTATCTCAACCCATGAGTTTTTTATTTTGTTTTCCTCCCGATTCTTCTCCCCAGCCCCCTGCTGCACATTTGTATGATACCGGATTGCCAGCTGGCTCAACAGTCACACCATTACCAACAGCACTGCCAGGAACAGGCCCAGCTTTGAAGTTGGAAAAATGCTGAAGTTTCTCAAGGGTAGAGAGGACATACAGAGACATGTGGAAAGGCTAGAGAGTTGGACAGCTGCCAATGTTACGAAAAGAACAAGTGCTGGATTCTCCATCTGTGGTGGGGTAACCCTGCTTGTATGCACAAAGCAGAGAATGAAAGACCAAATGACAGCCCCACAGAAAGAAATCTCAAAGTCTGGGTTCCTAGACAGTTGAATATGGGTCAACGAAAAGGGTCAGCTGTGTCCTGGAGTGCATCTGCATTCAAGCACAGCATCACCAGCTGCCCGAGGAAGGTGACTGTCCTGCTTTGCAATGCACTGATGGGGCCTCAGCTCAGGTCCTGTGCGCAGTTTTGGGTGCCTCTGTATCAGAAGAACATCGAACTGTTAGACTGTGTCTGGGCAAGGCAGCCAAGATGGTGTAAGGTCTCAAGGGCAAGAGGAGCATCTGAGGTTGCTTGATTTGCTCAGCTTACGGAAGGGTGAGGGGTACCTCGTGGCACCTTCTTCAGTGGAGAGGCAGGGGAGGATCAGATGTTGACCTCTGGTGACCAGTGACAGGGCGTAAGATGGAATGACACTGTATCTGGGTAAACACACACTGTGCATTATGGAAAGGTTCATCACTAAGAAGGTGGCCAGCCACTGTAACTGGCTTCCCAGGACTATCACAGATCCAAGCCTGTCAAAGCTCAAAGAGTATCTGAACAACACTCTTGATCATATGTTTCAGTTTCAGGTAGTTGCGTGAGGAGGAGAGAATTGGACTCAATGGACCTTACGGGTCATTTCCAGCTTGACATGTTCCAAGATAATGGCATCACAGTGAAAAGAGATGTGAAGCAAAAACACTGCTATGAACAGAGCACTTCCTGGATTCACTATTATTCCTTTTCCCCTCGGAATAAACTATAACAACATAATGCAGGGTTATAAGCTTGACGCTGTCAAAGAACTCGCAAAGTATTACGCGTGGGGGACAAGGCTCCACCCCCTGCACACTCACCCCAGCTGCACTATGAAGATAAACTGCACGAGGTGGACCGCTTTCAGGAGATCATAGGATTCGAACAGCCCCACGGCTTTCAAGACCTTGGCGAAGCACAGCAGCACGATGTACCGAGTCAGCCTGTAGAAGGAGAGAGGCCGGTTCGCACCTGCCACGCCGCCGCCGGCTAGGGCCTGCCCGCCGTACGGCTGCTCCATGGCGGGACGGATGCAGGGAACGGCTGCGAGTGCTCAGGAGCTCGGGCGCGGCCCGCCTGCCCTGCGCCGGGAGCACCGCATCGTCCGCGGGCAGTACGGCGGGGCGGGAGCCGAGGGAACGGGATGGGAACCGGGAACGGGAAGTACGTGAGACAGAGCTCCCGCCACCGCGCGTGCGCGGCAGCAGTGCGCAGGCGCCGCTGGGCGGGGCCGGGGCTGCGAGGGGTGCGGCTCCCTCCCCTCAGGGCGGGGATGGTGGATTTTTTTTTTTTTTTTTTTTTTTTT